CAAAAATCCACACCTTCTCATTGGTGAACTCCCACCGAGATCATGCCTTTTACTCTTGTCTACCTTTCCTGAGTATTGACCATTCAACACTCTAAAGTAGTATAATATTTATAAATCTCATTTCCATAAAAACATTGTTATTAAACAATTAAAAAACATATTTGCACTATAATCAAAGTAGTACCCCATAACCCCTTATAAAGCACATTTAATCTTTTAAAACATGTAATGTATGATAACTAGTAATATTTATTCAAAAATAGCTAAAACAAAGTAATAAGAAATATAAATTCCCCTGTTACCTCAACCCTTTGGTACTAAAAGGGTTCCCCTTGTACAAAATAGGGCTCGGCTTGTTCCTTACTTCTCAATAAGTTCCACCAACAATTTTCTACAACATATAAGTGATCCACATCACTTATCATGACAAATAGCATTAATGAAGACTATAACTTATACCACACAACTTAGGTCAATGAGTCATACTCCACCCTAATGGTCCATATATTAAACCAACCATTCACATAGTATCACTTAACCACCAAAACCATTTATTAGCCATCACTAGGCTAATTTTCAATTTATATAATTTTTTAATCAATTAAAAACCTTTACTTAGTGCCACCAACTTTCACCATTAGCCCTTATAATGAAAACCAAACCTTAATTTAAATTTTATTGGGCTCAAATAGCAAAATTATAACTAAATCAATAGGCTTAAACCATTGAGGAGCAAAAACCCAATTTCTCAAGGTTTATTTTGTGCCCAAAACACCTCTTTTCATCCAATTATTCACTCAAAACATTAGATCACTATATAGAAACTCAAAATATGCTCCCTAGAATCCAAAAAAACAAAAGCTTACAAGAATAAAGCCTTTGGGATCAAAATCCAAAAATTTTCTCTTCCAAAAATTGAAGAAAATCAAGAGAAAGAGAAGAGGATTGAAGTAGGGAGTTTACCTATCGTGTAGCCGAGCTCGTAACGGTCACAAAGACTCCTAGATCTAAGCCTAACTCCCTCCCTTTCTCTTCTCTTCTTTCTCTCTCCCTCTCATACGTTTCCTTTCCTTTCCTTTCCAACTCAATTTCTGCGTTTCTGCATCAATTTTGGTCTTTAAATTACTGGTCAAAAAGTTTGGGGAAAATTACAAGAAAGGGCCCAACATTTTTTATTATTGCACAAAAGCCCGGGTCAACTTTGGTAATTTTTCCCATAGTTAAAAATCAAATAAAACCAAACTTTTTCTTAGTAAAATTCAAACTCTGGGCCTCTATTAAATTATTCTAAATTTTAATTTAATTATAGATATTTTATTTTATTTTTATTTATTTTTTTAAATAAATTTGAGTATTAAAATTTTTAGGATGTTACATGTGCCATCTACTGTGGTACATATAACATCTACCGCATAGACCTTTGAGGAGAGAGAGTGTGGCTTCTTGTGCCTCATTATAGTGCATGGCTTGAATTTTGCAATAATAAGGCAGTTAATCAAACATAAAAATAGAGAGAGAAAGAGGGAGATAGAGAGAGGGCAATGAAGAACACCTCAAGGCTCTGTTAATTGATTTTGTGAAGATTTGAGAGCTTACAATCACCTAGGGTAAGATTTCAAAGCTCTATTCTTCCTTTCTCTTCTATTTTGAAAGACTTTTAAGTTAGGGTTTGTTTTAAAGAGGTGATTTTCAAGCTTTTAAGGCTATGGGTCTAAACTCATTAACTTAAATGGAGTTAATGATAGTTATTTGAGTTATCTAAATTTAGTATTAATTATTTTAAGCATCCTTGAGCTTAGGTTCCTCATTATGGATGAAAATGATATTTATTTTACTTGTGAGGAAGGTTTAATGCCATTAATGGTGTTTAATGAATTTATTAATGATAGTTGAAACTAAAGGGAGTTATTTAAGCTTTCCATATTTAGTTTTGAATTTTCAATGAAATGGAGAAGTTGAGTTAACTTTTAGACTAACTTTAGACATTTAGATAATGATTTGGGTTGCTGCATATTGTAATCAACATTACTTAAGCTCATATGAGCTAATTGTAGTTAATAGGAACTAATGTACCCATTAGTTGTGAGTATACTCAAGAGGTTGATATTATGAAGTAGTTAAAGTGTTGAAATGGGAAGTTAAGAGTTTAAAAAAGGTGATATTAATGATTTTAGACTTGATTGGTTGTAGATTAATCATCCTGTGTACTAATTTGCCTTGGGAGTAAGCTTTGAAAGCAATTATTGAGGAGTAAACCTTACACCACTTAAAAGTTTGAAGTAATTAAGGAAAACCTATTTTGTGTAATTATGTGTTAATTGATTTGTATTTCTAAATTATTATGCATTTAAATTGAATGATGGAATTTCATTGTGTTTTTTGTGAGGCAATTTTTGAAAGGAACAAATGAAACTTTGGCAATTGTTAAATTTTGAAAGGAATGATCAAATATTCATGCTTATATGTATTGATATGATAATGTGAAATCCAGGATTGTGCTTTGATCAAAAAATTCTAAAGCGTGTGAACATGATAAAATGAAAAAAGAGTTTGTGACATATGGAATATTGTGATGGCATACCCGTATGATGAAATGATGATATATGGAGGTATGTGTTAATCATTATGATAGAATAATGTGGATTTATATATGATGCTCACATGTTATAAGTTGTTCAATATTGGAAAATGAGCTTGCTATTGGACACACACACACACAGAGGTGAAGAGGAGTAATGATAAAAATCCACGTGGTATTAGCTTCTTATTGTTGAAATCGAAAACTAGCCTAGTTACTAATCATTTAAATCGAGAAGTAGCCATTATCTAGGGGAAGCCATGATCTGAGGGTGAGAGTATTGATCTTTGATCAGGTTGCTCCTCACAATTGGTTAGTTTGGGTAGTCCATTCATACGGATGAAGCCTTATTTGATTTATAACTCATGGTTTCAATTGGAAGATATAAGGTTGGTTTGATCATGTATATCATCCTATGTGCCACGTAGTTGTTAAGTTTGTAATAAGTCATGGTATTTGATTGTGCCGTTATCACATGGTTGTTATTATTATGGTAATGTGCATCATTATATTTGATTAAACTATTGTCACATGATTGTTAGTATTGTGACAATGTGTTTTGTGATATGATTGGTGGAAAATGGGGATATGATGATAATATGTTGACTTATACAAATATAACATGAGTTATATGTGAATCTATGAAATATATGATTATATGCCTCATATATGTTTTGTATCAAAAATATCAATTAATATGCGATCGTATATGGTAAAGGAACTTTGGTTATTGAGTGACTATACTTACCTTTGTTTCTTAACATTTTATAGGCTCTAGCTTAGGCGTTAAAAAGAGAAAAGCTTTGGAGCTTTAAGAATCTTGTTCCTATTGTAAATCCTCTCACTTTATATTATAATGTGTAATTTATGATGATATTGCTAGCTAGAATTGTAATTTTGAAAGTATGCATTTGCTTGCATTATATACTTGTTATTTCAATGTGTCTTTTGGGCCTTGGATATTGTGTGGTGTAAATTGAGGAAAAAAAACTTGACAAGCCAAACACTAATGCAAATAGAATATTATAGATGAATATTATGTGAATGCATGCAAATGATTTTATAGTCATGAAACGTAATGCTAGATTTTCCCCTTTTGTTTTGATATTAATGAGGATTAGGAGTTAAAAATGAGATCTATGTGTTACACTGAATATGATCTAGGTGTTATTGATGGCTTTTGGCATGTATGTTGGGTTTTAGACATTGTGATGTGAAAAATGGAGAAAATGTGTTTAGTTGTCTAATTCTCTTGTATGAAATTATTTGAAAGTAAAGCCCTTGCCATTAACCAAATATTGAATTGAGCTTTTTATAGATACATAGGATGTTGGACAGAGAAATAGAGTATGTTGAAAGTTGGCCCCTTGACAATAGCATTGCTGTCAATTATATGTATCACGCAGTGGCGTGTAGCGCCTGCACAATGACATGTTACACAGAGAGGAGCATGCTACGACATGTGCATGCCATGCCATGGCACCTACCTTTGTTTTCATGCTGTCTTGCTTTCTTAAGTTCCTTTTAATGCCTTTAGTGAAAAATAGTATCTTATGCTTTCGCATTTGTTTTAAACACTTGATTAGATTTATTAATGTCCCTTTAATGGTTTGAAAACTTTGAGATCCCAACTTGTGAAAGAATACAATTTGTTTTCAGAAGTGTTTTGAAAATGGCTAATCATGGTTGGGTAATCTATTTGGGTTAATTTCAATATCACTCAAGAGTTTGTGATTAAGATATGAATTAGTAAAGATAACCCTTATAGGGCCACTATTGCTATAAAGTTTGAATGTTCAGTTGAAGATTTGAAAGGAGAGGAAATAGTAATCCTCCCATGGTTTGATGGAGCATTAATAATGTTCTCACTTGAAACAGTTTGATTTTATGAGAGAAAACAATATGATAAGCACTTTTAGCTTTAAGCTTATCTTTCGAATCATTGAAACAACCCACATGGCTTTGCTCAATATGGATGAACTCATTCACAAGCAAAGCCTCATGCATCAATGAAAAAGAATAATGATTTGGACATTGAACATATTATTGCTGAGGTAAGAATTAAGAAAGCTAAATTGGAGGATGAAAATCGCAAGGTTGAATTTTTAGAGGAATTTTGGTAGAGGAAACTTGAGGAGTTACGTGAACGGCTTTTAATCGCAGAGAAAGGTGCAAACTCGTTCATGAATGGAAATACTAGTGTGGGAACTGGAGGAAAAGCTGAGATGCTATTTGGCTTTTGAGGGAACAATGCGCCAGGGGAGATTTTAACAAGCAAGAAATGAAGGATTCAAACCCGGGGCAATTCTGTCATTTCATTACAACACTTAACTGTATATAGATAGGGCATTGTGCCTGCAGAATCAATTCATGTCGTGTTGAGTCCAGTTGCTATTTTGTTAGTTTTGAGGGCCTTAGGTGTAATTCTTCCAAAAAGAAATGTCCAATCTTCGTGTTGGCCAAATGTTTTTGTGAACGAGTTTGTCGGATTTATAAAATAGAGGCAGAGAAGGAAGGAGGGCAAGATACTCAAAGACGGGCGATACTCGAGAAGTCTTCACGTATACATGTAAAGTGACTTCCAACATTCATCAGAACAAAGGAAAGGAAAGAAAGGGGAAAAAAAAAAAAAAAAGCTAAACGAGCGAATGGGGCATCAGAATCATGAACGCAAAGCGGTCCTTTAGTCCTCTTCATCGTGTCTTCGACACCGAAAATCTCGGGATGCCCGCTTTCTGTTTCTCTCTCTAGGTTTTGCCATCCCTGTGCTTTGCCTACAATTTTCACAGTACACTCTCTCTCTCTCTCTCTTCGCTCACTGACATGTTCTAGTTCCGGAATTTCCAGATTCATCCGAATTCAAGGTATTCATTGTACCCTTTAGTCTTTTCAATCCCCAATTTTAGTTGGTTTGTCTGTGAAAGTGTTAGTTGATCAGTTATAATTTCGATTCAGATTAAGGATTTAATAATTTTATCGTTTTCCTTTACCTTTGGGTTTCCTTTTGGTTGATGATAACATGTGGAAGAACAAAAGAATGTCAAAATTTGGGGGCGGGACACTGTAGTGGCTGAAATGCATTTTGACCATATTTTTCGGTGCCGAGATGCGGGATTTAACATATTCTATGAAGTGGGGTGCGATGGATGAATAATCTCCTTGTGGCGTTGTTTTTATTCCTTCCTTTTTTTTTCTTTATAAATATATTTTGGTTTTGTGGAATCTGTACATTTATGTAAGATTGAATTATGCTTTCAAACTGTTTTAAACTGCATGGCCGGTGATTCACTTGTCTTCACTCATTTTTAGCAGTGGCGCTATGATCACATTATAGTCTTGAAATTCCATTTTTTCCCAAACTATCTTAGACAGTGGCTGGGATTTTCAAAAATTTGTTTTGGATCCCCTCCTTTCACCACTTTACTGTGATTTGTATTTGATTGCGTTTTCTTGGTATTTCTGCTGCATTGACCATTAATGTAAACTGAATTATTTGTGATGAAACGTTCCCTTTCAGTGCTATATTTTCCATTCACCTTCTAAATGAATCATTACCTTCATTTTTGTTTGTTTTCCTTTGTAAATATCTACATGATACGGCCAATTAATGTAATTTGGAATATTTTCATATTCTCTACGTTACACTTCTGATTGATTGGAATCAATATGCAATATATTAATTTTGGTTTACTCTTCTATTGGGGCAGAAGTAAATTAAATGTTCCTTGGGATTTTTCTGGTGAAAGACGGTGCCTCGATTTCCATGATTTCTGGGATGAATTCCTTATTGAGCAAAACTTCTAGACTCTAGTGATTGGTGAAATAAAATACCTGATATAGCGGGCTTGAGAAACCTAAAAAATGGAAGCTACAAGGTGCTGGTTTAATAAGTTCAAGTCAAAGGACAAAATGAAGTCTCCGAAGAACAAGGAATCTACAGCTTCTGTAAAAGAAGGGTCAAGACCCCCAACAAATGAAGAAGCACCATCAAACGTGACCAAACAGAGGGCTGCAGCTGCAAAGCAGTACATAGAAAATCATTACAAGAAGCAGATGAAGAACCTGGAGGAGAGGAAGGAGAGGTATGTTTACTTATTTTCCTATAGTCCTAGTTTCGAGGTCTTGATGATGGCGCAGTCTAATTTTATATTTATATTGATGTTTTAGTACCATGTAATGCTGTTTTAACTATTTATACAGTGGCCTCTCATTATGCATTATGTATGAGAACCGGGTTTTGTTTATTGTTCCTGCTCTTTGTTGCCAAGCAAGTAGTCTGCCTTATGGAAACTCAATTCTGCATTTACTGACTTGAGATCATTTTCTATTTTGTTTCTAATCTGTTGTCTTATGTCTGCTAATAGCTTCTGATAAATAGAAATTGCTTTAAGCCCTCAATATGTCCTAAACACATGACTATCTGCAGACGTAATTTGCTGGAGAAAAAGCTGGCTGATGCTGAAGTCTCTGAAGAAGAGCAGAACAACTTGCTTAAGTATTTGGAGAAAAAGGAGACAGAATATATGCGCCTTCAAAGGCATAAGATGGGAGCTGATGATTTTGAGCCATTGACTATGATAGGGAAGGGTGCGTTTGGAGAGGTATGGTCTGACTTAATGAGCAATTAATTTAGTATTTCTGGCTGTTTTGTGTTTGTCTTTAATTTTTAACTAAGAATCACTGTTCTTGGAGATAATGATAATGTCATATTTCTCTCCATTGACTAAGAAGGCTTGAATTGTACTGTGTGTTGTGTAGATTAGGATCACTATTTCTTGTTTTATTCTCCAACATTCTTACGTTGTTTGTCCCTTATTATTGCCAAGATTGTTTTTGTTATTTATAGGTGGAAGGGAATCTTAATTTTTCTAACTTTTTTTGTAATAATAGCATTTGATATTGGTAATTTAAGCAAGTATTTTCTCCACTTGTTTGTATGATAGAATTTTTTACTTAGTGGGATAAAGTTTTTTGTTGTTGTTGTCATCTTTACGATAGAACTTTTGGAAAGGGTGAAGTAGTTCAAGCAATTTAAATGGGCAAGATTGGTGTATCTCAATTTCTGGTTCCTCTTCAAATTATGCTAGAGGGATTCAAAACTTTCACCTTAAACACAACAAAGTATGGACAACTCTTAATGGATTGAATTGATTGAAGCTTTTATGATTGGCATCGATACTGATTGTTTATTGTGACCTAATGGATAGAAATTTTTGGATGCAATTAGACAAAGTATTAGTGAACACTAAATAATCAATCTCCGTAATAAAGGAGTTTTGGCTTCCATTAAAGGGAGCACGCTTCTTGTGGTCATTGCTTTGAATTAAGTACGTGGATCTGCATGATAGTTTTATTGCAGCATTAAGTGGTAGGAAGGTATTAAGTACTGGGTTTTTTGGTCATTTTGACAAACTGCCAATCTTGAGGGCCTGAGTTAAGCACAATCCTTGCATCAAGTTGTGCTTTAGAACATTACCCAGCTGGAAAAGCATGAGAAGTTTATCTTTGAGGTGGTCTTTCCTTCAGAGAACCAGCAAGCCTCTAGCAGGCTCACCTCAAATGCCAACTGACGTCTAAGATACCAATTCAGTAGCCTAGGGTGGCCTGGGGTTTTCGTTACCATGGTCTTGAAACTGAAGATATGACACAAGAACTCGGAGCTAAGTCTATGTTTTCTTCAAGGTGGGTTGCAATTCTAGTTTGAAGACACTGTTAGGATTGTTGTGTTTCAAAGGCAATTTTTATTCATCCTATTAGGAGCCAAATAGACCCCTTGAAGGCAAAATGTTTTGTGATGCTGTATCAGTGGCTAAAAGTCGGTTGGAACAGTTACATGTTGCAGCTTTATGAGGAGGTCTGCTTAGAGTTCCAGTGTATTGCAGCTTAGTCTTTTTGTCTAGTAATATGTTAAATTTTCTTGCTGCATTAAAAACTCATTCCTTTAGTAGCATCTGTTGCTTTCATATTTTTGTTTGAGTTCACTCATACAGAAATTTAATCTGGTGTTTTGTTGTCATTTTACAACTTCATTTGTGCAGGTTAGAGTCTGCCGAGAGAAGGGAACTGGCCATGTATATGCTATGAAGAAGCTCAAGAAATCTGAGATGCTTCGTAGAGGCCAGGTATAGATATCAAGTTTCACTGACTTCGTTAAATGCTTATTGCCTTTTAACCTTATTATTTACGTTTATCTTCTCTAGGTTGAACATGTAAAAGCTGAAAGGAATCTACTTGCAGAAGTTGACAGCAATTGCATAGTAAAACTTTACTGTTCCTTTCAAGATGAAGAGTATCTATATCTCATTATGGAGTATCTCCCTGGTGGGGATATGATGACTTTGCTGATGCGGAAGGATACACTGACAGAAGATGAGGCTAGATTCTATGTTGGGGAGACTGTCCTAGCGATTGAATCAATTCATAAACACAATTACATTCATAGGTCAATTTAATCTGTTGATAGTTATATCACATGATGGATCTTTTAGCATTCTTATTTTAGAGCGGTTGTGTACCAAATAGTTAATTTCCTGTCTTTGAAATGTTTTACAGAGACATCAAGCCAGACAACTTGTTGCTAGATAGATATGGTCACATGAAGTTATCAGATTTTGGATTATGTAAACCACTAGACTGCAGTAATCTTCAAGAAAAGGATTTTTCCGTTGGAAGCAATTTGAGTGGAGCTCTCAAGAGTGATGGACGTCCTGTGGCACCTAAACGTACTCAACAGGAACAGCTTCTGCATTGGCAGAAAAATAGACGGATGCTTGTAAGTCATCTAGTATTCATGATAATAGGAATAACTGATGTTTTATATTTATACTCCTCAAATTTCAGGTTGACAGTTGTCTCCAACTGGCTAACTTTTGTGTTTACTATGAACAAGCATATTTGCAATTTTTAAGTGTTGAATGGTTGGTAATGAGCTTCATTCTGTATATCTTTTTTGGTATCTCTGGTTTACTTCCTTTTCTGTTGTTACTGTGTTTTCACAATTTTTTTTTTTTTGCTGCAAGATGGTATGGTGATAATATGTAGAATTTTGGGGTTTGAATTGCCTTTTGCAATACTGCAGGCCTATTCTACAGTTGGAACACCTGATTATATTGCCCCTGAAGTTCTTCTGAAGAAAGGATATGGGATGGAGTGTGATTGGTATGATTGAATGTGTTTTATTTCTTAACTTCACCAAATTCCACTGCACTCTCTTCCCCTTGGGTTATTGCCTTTTTGTACTGCAATTGTATGACGAGTTTGTTGATGGTTTAAGGTGGTCTTTGGGTGCTATAATGTATGAAATGCTTGTGGGGTATCCACCCTTTTATTCAGATGAGCCGATGTCAACTTGTAGAAAGGTAACGTCTGAAACTGCTGATAGTGCATCATGCATAGGTGTTTGTTGAAGTTGAGTACATGGATAGGACTTGGAATCGATGGTACTCTGTATCTGATTGTTGTACGTAGAAAAAGCCTCTATTGCTACACTAGAAGCACTCAAAGTGAAAAATACGTGTATTTTAAAATGACTTTGATGTAGATTTCTCCTGCATCCATTAGGATGTCAACATGTCATGTTATACATTTATTTTTGGGAAAACATAACTTTTAGTCCTTATACTTTGCATGCAGTTTGTTATTGGTCCTTATACTTTATTTTCAGTGTTTTAAGTATTTATAGTTTTTTCCGTTTGCACTTTAGGTCCCTACACTTTCAGAGAGGTGTTGATGTGGCATTAATGGTGTTAATTATGCCAATGTGGATAATAACACTATTAATTATATGGTGACATGTTAGTTAGTAGCTGATGTGTATTTTTTTCTGGGAAAAACAGAGGAAGAAAAGCTGATGTGTACTCCCTCTAATCCTTATTATAAAACACTTTCAATCATTTTACGCATTTTAAGAAAATTTATTTTTTTCTTGATATCATAAAAAAATGATATGTACTTTCATTTTTACCATTGGCTTTAAATAATGATACAACTACATTAAGTACCTTCACATTAATCAAGAAAGAGTAAAATTTTAAAAATAGTTTAATGATTACAAAGTTGTCTTATATTTCGGACAAAAAATTTCTTCTAGAATATGTCCTATGCATGGGACGCAAAGGAGTATTTGTTTAATAATCAGGAAGTGAAAAAAATTTGTCCTAACTCCAAACCTAAATAATATATTTTATATACATTAAAAAGCAATAAACCATCATGAACCTAACTTTGCAGCATAGGATCATAGGGAAGGCACCCTAAAGCACAAAATTGTAGCGAACTTAAAAATATACACATGACTTTTTCTCGTAGTTTTAAACTCTACTTTTATATATAAAATAATTATTAAAAAATACATATAAGCTTTTCTTTCTTTCTTTTTTCCTAGAAAAAATTCACACCAGCCACTAACCGGTACATCACCATATAATTAATAGTGTTATTGTTCACATCAGCATAATTAACATTGTTAATGCCATGTCAGCACCTTTTGAAATTATAGGGACCTAAAGTGCAAATGGAGAAAACTACATGTACTTAGAACACTGAAAATAAAGTATAAGGTGCAAAGTGTAGGGACTAAAAGTTATGTTTTTCCTTTATTTTTCTTGGTTGAATGTTCCTTGATAAATAATTGTGGAATTTTTTTTTTTTTTGCTGTTAGTTTTGTTAGTGTTTCATTTTTTTTCTATTTTATAATTCATTTTTTTCACCATTTTATATACTTTTGTCATCTAATCATTGATTAGGATCATTTTCTATTTTTGTTAATCATGCAGATAGTAAATTGGAGAACTCATTTAAAATTTCCAGAGGAAGCTAAGCTATCTGCAGAGGCAAAAGATCTTATTTGTAGACTTCTATGTAATGTGGACCAGCGACTTGGCACTAAAGGGGCTAATGAAATAAAGGTGTTGCGGTGTGTTCTTTTTAGTTTTTTTTTTTTTTTTTTGTTGGGATTTGGTTCGTTGTGTAGTTTCATACTAGTGAAACAACTGGGTCATCTTTTTATTTTCAGGCTCATCCATGGTTCAAGGGTATCGAATGGGACAAACTGTACCAAATGAAAGCTGCATTTATTCCTGAGGTCAATGATGAATTAGATACTCAAAATTTTGAGAAGTTTGAAGAGGTATATATTCACTTTATGACCAAGGATATGGAAGAGTTGCTTGTATGTAAGCAGTGTCAAGCTCTCATGATTTAATGATGCTATGTAGGTTGACAACCAAATTCAGCCTTCCTCAAAGTCAGGCCCATGGCGAAAGGTGGGTTTTTGTGACTAAAACGTGGTTTATATTAGGTCTATGATTCATGGTCCGACAGTGGGGATTATGTATTGAATTAAATCTGTTTTCTTGTGTTCCATTGTATTTCTTTCGTTTTGCTAACCTATCCCTTGTTATAATCTGTTGATCTATCAAGCTATCTATCTTAAGTTTTATCCACATTGGTTTCCCTCTTGGTCATATAACATGGCATATTTATTGAGGCGAGGCTCTTTGAACAGTCCAATCAATATTAGATAGATGAAAAAGTTGTCTTCCAAATAGTTTGTTAATCTGCATGTATTGTACTGTTAACAAAAGCTTGATTGCCTATAGACGATACTGAATTTAACTAAGTCTTATTGGCAGCATCTCCAAATACAATTGTTATTTAATTTGAAAATTATGGTTCATCAGTGTCTGCTGGCAATATTTGTTCTGAAGTGGCGTGCAAGTCTGGGATTTTAACTATGGTTTACCCATTGCTGCAGATGCTGTCATCTAAAGACATTAACTTTGTTGGATACACTTATAAGAACTTTGAAATCGTGAATGATCATCAACTACCTGGAATTGGTACGTACCTCCTCAGTTATGCATGAACTTATTGTCAGTTTTTAAATGTAAACTCCTCAGTTATGCTATCTGTCTATTGCATTTATTGCCTATAAAAGACAACTTTTATAGTTTCTTATGTCAGATTTCTAATATTAACAACCAAATTGGATATTAAGTAATTTAATTTCAGATAACTGTATATATTGCTATTGGATGGACTTTATAGTTTGTATTTGTACTGAGCATTGAGTTTATTATTATTTTTTTCAGTTCTTTTTTAGTGTAATGATTCATTGTTTTATTTGTGCTAATCTTCGCAAGTAATTATGCTGTGTGCTACTTTATCAGCTGAATTGAAGAAGAAGAGCACAAAACCTAAAAGACCGTCTATTAAGACTCTGTTTGGTAAGAATCACCTAACTGCTTTCCTTACACTTTTATTTGAGGGTTTGTCCTTTTTTCTTTGGACAGTGTTGATGGTCCCCTTGAAATTAAATCATTTGAGAGTAGTTTTCTGTTACTATTATTTTGGATTCAGCTGTTCAGAGTAGTTTCTTACTTCATTTTGAATTAAGCAAGATTAAATTTTTATATCATATTGGTTGGAAATGGATATTGATTGGAAAAGGGAGCCAATTTTTTTTTTTTTTTAAATGTATTCCCGGACTCTTTGAAATCTAAAGAAAATTCCTCCCTTTTCCTTTCTCTCTCTCTCTCTCTCTCTCTCTCTCAACATGAGTCAACATCCTTTCTTAATAGAGATGGAAAACCTTCATTTGTAATCTTTCATGAATCACTCTTGAAGAGTAATATGATCTGGTGGGGGAAAATCAATGAGCCAAAATATTGGGTTTAAGTGTGTTTAGAAATTAGAAGCATGTGATTTTCCAAAAGCTTTACTCCTGGGATCTTGAATCAAAGATTTAGAACCATACTGAACTAGAGATATTTGAAATCTATGTTTCTAGTCCCGTTGAACCTCTTTTAGGATTTATGTTTGCCTCGTGGTGGTTGGGATTTGGCTTGTAGCTAGAATGTTCATGCAGAATCTGGTCCATTAAAATCGTCAAGAAATGCAACTATTTTATTCCTATTGATAGGTTTACTGCAAACCAAATAATTTGCTTCTGCCAAATGCCAATCTTCCTTCTGCTTGTCTGTTTGTAGTTTCATGTTTTTTCCATCCAGCAGACGCATGCATTACCTTGCACAACGTAAATCATATTTGGCACATAATGTTGAAACTTGGGTTACTTGACATACTCAAGTGCCTGTTTAACTAGCATACTGTTGAAGTTGCTCTGTTCTACTCTAAATGTTAACTTTATGCTACAGATGATGAGTCAACTATGGATGCCAAGAAACCAGTCCAAGGGAGCTTTTTAAACCTTCTACCTTCTCAACCGGAAGTTCCTGAGAAAAGTGAATCACAATGATCTTAACTAACACTTTGCATGACCTTTATTAGATGACAAGGGAGATACTGCCAGGTGCTGGGTGGTTACTGATTGTTTCATCTTTTTCCTGCATTCTTTTGTTAATTTGGCGTGGATAGTTTTGGGAGTGAAGGCCCCAAAACTAGTCGATTTGGAGAACAAAGGTTTTGGGATGACTGGTTATTTGTCTGTCTGTGCAAAAGGTCTTCATAAGTATATATATATTCTTCAAAGTTTAGTTTATGTTCTCGTTTTTCACCTTTTTATTAAGCTTCGGTATTGGTGATCAATGTCCAAGTTATTTTATTTTCTGTAATTATGTAACTTCTGAGATTTTGTAAGGATGGGCTATTCACACGAGTGCTTGTCTTTGTTTATCATGTAGAAATGGGTCGGCATTCTCGTTGATATCTGTCTCAACCTGCATCAATGAATATTCAAAACCTGCCCTCAAAGTCTCCCACTCCCACTTTCCTCTTTCGTGCATTTAATTCTTGATTAGTGTAAGATTCCTACATTACAGTTGTATGAAAGATGATGCAATGCTTTCAAAGTTATCTTGATTTTCTACGAGGTATAGGTTTTCTGACTCAGGCCTGCATTCCGTCCTTATGACTCGAGTAGCATGAGATGATCTCAATAATTTTTGATATATGTCAAACCCATTCATTCCCCCCCCCCCCCAAAAAAAAAAAAGCATCTCAAACTGTGTTTGTAAATATAAATTTAATTGACTAAATTCATACTCTAGTGTCCCAAAGTATAATTAATTCGAGAAACCGAACTGAGTTTAATCATTCTGGTATACTTGGAACAAAATTATATACTCCATTCATTTTAAATTATAAAATCTTTTTAGATAAAAATTTTACATATTAATAAATTTTATTAAATATGCTTAATAAATTTATCTTTTTAAAATAAAAATATAAACTTTTAAAAATATTAATTATTTAATATATTAAAAAGAGAGTAGGTTAAAATTAATTATAAAAAAAAAGATAATATTGAAATTATTATATTTAATGAAATTTTAATGTATTTAAAGTGTTTTATATTTAAAAAAAATTTATTAAAAATGTTCTATAATTTGAGATGAAAATAATATTATTTAATAATGTAAAATATGAATATTATTAAATCATTAGTTTAACGTGGGACTCTTCCTTTGCAACATAAAACATGTTGGAGTTCAAAAAAAAAAAAAACTAAAACACCAATCCCAATATATACTTATTAGTTACTTCAATTGATTGTGCTTCTAATTATCTTATCAAAATTAATGAGAAGTAATTAAGTTATTATTTTGTTTGAAAATAAGATTAAGTTTTAATTTTACTCATATTTAAATAATTTTTTAGATTTGCATAACATTCTCATACTTAATAAGTTTAAATAATGATAATATTAAAAAATAATTAATAATTTATCAAGCATTTTACATTAAAAATTAAATAATTTTTTTAAAAAGTTTCTATAGCAGAAATTATAGGAAGTATTTTTTTATTCTATTTATAGGGTAAAGTTAATTTATAATTACTTTATTATCGTAAAAAAATGGTAGTTGATATTTGTAAATTTAAAAAATAGAACTTTTAATTTTACCTTTTAATAAAATTAATCTATAAAATAAACTGTTTAATAGAATTAAAAACATATCAACGACTTGATATAATATAGTAATGATGAGATTAAAAATGGGTTAATATATATAATTTGAACTTTACATTATAAGTTTAAGAACAATTTAAATAATAAATTTTTAAAAGCATATTTTAAACTATAAATAATTAAAATAAAAATAATTTACCCTCACAATTAAATTTCAACAATGTTTGATAGTCTTTTAATAATTGAAATTTAATATGTAATTTTTATCAAATTTCACTCCCCTTTTCTCTCGTGTTCTCATTTAATAAAAATCACACATTAAGTCTCGTTTTAACAGATATTTATTTAAATTTAATAGTGAGAGTAAAATTACTTCAATTTTAATTATTTAAAATTTAAAATATATCTTTTAAAAATTTAAAATTTAAATTACCTTTAAATTGTAATTTGTGATTCAAATTATATATTAATTTATTAAAATTAAAAATAATATAAAGAAGGGAGATTGGTTAGGGCAAGGCTTTTGGGAGTAACAAGTTTTCTACTGAGCACGCGCGGCTCACTGGGGAATTGCTTGGGTGCTGTTTGTTGGGGACACTCCGAATCCGAAAGCGTGTTCTCAGCATCATTCATTCCGTCCATCAGGAGTTGTGGCTGTGACAGATTAGGGGATTCTAACGACAGTGAAGCTCCTTCAAACTTCGGTTTTTCTACATTCTAGGTAAAATTTATTTCATTTTTATCGGAATCGTCGAAGCCTGGGCCCTGGGCAATGGGGTTTTGATCTGGGAATCTGTCATGGATTTTGAGCTGACATAAATGCGCTAATGGGTATGGCGTGCTTAGTTTAAATTCCCGGATACGTAAAAGTAGATCTCAAGCACTTCGTATCTGAACTAGTGAATTATGCGAACCACAATAGCTCCTTGGTTATTTGTCTTGTTGCTGATTTGGGAGCTGAAAGCACTTGTTTATATTAGTTGTTGGATAGATGCATGTAATTACATTAAAAAGGCATTTTTGTACGACCCGCCTCAGATGTTAAATTGCTTCCTTCTCACCGTGTTTCCTCGTGAAAAGTGGTTTTCAAAGTTGTGTTGTAAGTTCTTACAACAGGAATTTCACAATGGTTCTAGCTCAGTGGTAGTGTCGTCAGTTTGATTTACTAAAAAAAAAAAGAATCATAATAAGGCTAAATAAATAAGGACTAAAATATAGAAAAGGAAGAACTTAACATCATCCAACATGGATAGACAGAAACGGTGCTTGGCTTTTGTATTAGAAACTGTCTTCTGGTTTTGGTTCAAATGGATTTTTCTGGAGACATCAATAACAGTTTCTTGGTTTGTCACTTTAAAGTTCGCTCTCGCTACTCTTGTCAACTGCTGTTTGTGAGTCCTGAAAAGCAGGCAATATGCAGGTAAAATCCTTCACATGGTTCCTGATTGTTGTCTATATTTTCTTGTTCGATTTTGTTCAAAACCCTAAAATCTCCTTGTGGCCAATAAAATAATCCTCTTGTCCTTTCCTGGAAACTTTATTGGTGAAATTGCACCGACTCTTTTTATGTGTAACCATCACCCCCCCAAAAAAAAAAAATCTTCCTGTAATCATAGTGATCTGCAAAGGAAATTGTTATAGATCTTATTTCCTAATGCCTAATTGATATCAAACATCTGATGCATCTTTTCACTTATCATGCAGGCGAGTGATAGGTTTAACATCAATTCCCAACTTGAGCACCTCCAAGCAAAATATGTTGGAACTGGGCATGCAGATATAAATCGATTGTAATTTTTTTTTTTTTTAGTTTCTTTATTTCTCAGTGTTTTTGTAACATTCAATGTGATTTATTTTAGTTGTTCCCTGTTTTTTGTCTGCATACAGTGAGTGGGCAGTGAATATTCAACGTGATAGCTATGCTTCATATGTTGGCCACTATCCCATACTGGCATACTTTGCTATAGCTGAAAATGAATCAATTGGAAGAGAACGCTACAACTTCATGCAGGTTCTCTATCTTCCTTTCTTTCAAGTGCTTCATAAATTTAAACTTCCCTTCCATGATAACTGCTCAAAGTACACTTGTTTTTGTCTTGCTGCATTTGGCTTGTGAAGGTCACAATTTATAGTTTTAACCTATATGCTGTTACTTTAGGTTTATAGGTTGTTCTCATTTATTTGTTTTCCACGATTCCAAAGATACATCATAATTCCTCAGCAAATGGATTTTCAATCTGAAATTTGAAAATAGTGCAGGATTCCTGCTTTTTACTCATTTTTAAGCTATTCTTGGGGGATAAATTTGTCGAATTACTCTGTATGGCATTGGAGGAACAATCTTTTATCAGTCATACGTTTGTGGCCAATATTAAATGTAGATCTTGGTTATGTAGAATATGGTATCATGTGGATCTTATTTCATTGTGTGGAGGCAACATATTTACTTGGAGTTGTAGAACAATGAGTAATCAAGATGCAACTAGTATTTTTATTCTTTTACTCTTTCTTTTCATTTGAGTTTTAGAGATACAGAGGTGCATGAATTTGAAATGATAAAATGGTGATGTACAAGAGAATGAATGGTACATGATTAGATTCATTCTTTACCTTTTAGATGTTTGTGGTGGCAGAGATAATGATTTGAATGGCCAGATTGTAAGTGTTTTCTATTATGAAATATGAAACATAAACTACTGTTTTCTTGTTTTTTAAGGAGCCATTGTATTCTGGTATTCAAGCCAAAAATTGACCTGGAAACGTATAGGAATATCCAGGATCTTTATGATTTTGCACGAATTTCCGTGTCTACCACAGGTTAATATATATGTCTGTATATATTAATTGAGCTTGTATTTGTGGTATGGCTTTTTGTTTACTTAAATAAAACTATACACTTTTCCATTGTCACAAGGTTGAACTATAATATGTTTTGAAATTTCTATTAATGTCTCAATTTTGAAGTATGGAAGAGGTAGAGGAAGATCGGAGAAAACACTTACAGAGGTTGTTGAACGAGACTTTTTAGTTAATAATATTTTTAAAAGTTTGATTAATGATAGAGCACAATAGTTTCGTGCAATTCATGTAGTTGACTCTATTTAGTGGAATAAGGCTTGTTGGTGTTGTCTCAATTTTGAAGCACTGATGGCAGCTGTAGCATCCTATTCCAGTAAAGTGTGGAATTTTAGAAATAAGTTAACGTGATCCATGAATCATGATTCCATCTCATATTTGTTTTACATATCTAAAAACACATGACCTGATAATCTGGTTGTGATTTTTTGTTCGAATGGACTCTCAATCTCATTCATTACTTATAATGCTTTTTGATGTTTTGTTGCTACCATATAATGTGAGCTGTTAGATTATAGCAGGTTCTCTCCTCGTACCTATACATGATGATTAAGGGGTACTTTGTATCTATATGTATATAATAAATCTATAGAAAGCTGCACTGTTCACAAGCCCTAAGTTGTGCAGGTTGCTAATAGGCCCCTGTGCATTCATCTAGTTACTTTTATTTATTGACAAGCTCTATTGTCTGTACAGAAAATGCTCCTTCCCTGTGGCCTACCTCCTGAAAGAGAAGAAGATTAAGGATTACCATCTGGATCAAGAATGCGACTCCCTTTTGATCATTAGAGGTGGTAGGCTTTAACTGTTTGTTGTACTTAGTCTGTTGTTCAAATAGAGGACAAGTATGGATTATTATGGTTGTATTTGAATGTGATACTCATTAGAGATTGCTGCACCATCCTTTTTATGCTTTTAGTAGGGTCTTTGCTATATATATATATATATAGAGGAAAATTAGGTCATGGGATAAAGCCTTTGCTATTCTAGATGTTCTCTTAAGAGTTGTCGCGGAATTGATCCTTTCTCTCTTAGAGAGACTGTGCAGGCATCTGTGCAATCATGATTTTCCCTTAAATTGCATTTTAACGTGACCGTGTCAAATCATAAAATAATCACGTCTAGAAAGAGCATCAACCACAATGTTTTCTTTGCGCTTTTTATCCTCTGTGTGCTTTAGACCCTAAAATTTACCCACTATTTATGTAATAGTTTATATTTCTTTGGGGAAAACTACCTCAGTTTTGATGGGAAATGGTTTGTCAAGCACATTCTCTCTAAGAGTAGCTGTTATAACTCTTTTATGTAAGCTGGTGGATGCATTTTTGTTGAACTGAGAACTTTAGTTGCATAAAGCAAGAGGATGTTCTCCTCGAGAAAGAACAGCTCTTATAGGCATCTGTCTCAACAGGAAATATAATAGAAAATTCTGATACTGCTAAAACAATTTCAAAAGCCGTGGCTTGCTTCAATTTCTCTACGGCAACAGCAGCTCGTTTACTCCATTCAAATTTCCGATTTTTGTACGGCAACCCTGTTAATGGTTTGCTCTATCTTCCATAATGCAATCATGAATCCCAGAATAGGAACCTTCTAAACGACTTGATAGATTTATGAACTGGTCATAACAACATTGCTTTGGTTTTCTGTGGATCGGCCTACTCCTCTGTACAAAATCACATACCCTAACCAATAATTTTTTTTTTTTTTTGTGATGGAAAGGAGTTCTCCTTGGCTTCTTTTAGCGAGGGACCATATTTGTAAGCATGTAAACTGATAGGGTGCTTCTCCCGAGATTGATTGAGCGATCAAACTCACGGGAAGGCCAAACTTCTTGGTTCATGAAAAACGTCGACGAAGCTTCGTAATAAACTGATAAGTGCTCCAACTCGACATTTTCACTTTCTTTTACTGCTGCAACCTCAATGCCGTCTTCTTATCACGCTGTTCTGAAACTTGCGGTTGATAAAAACTTTTAAGTACTTGTCTACTCTGTATATAATCATCCATTAGTTTGATCTTGCTCTCGCATGTCTTGTGTTGAATGTTGTGCCTTGCATGGTGACTGAATACCGTTAGAAATTGGGAGCAATTGTTTGGGAGTAAGAGGAAAAGAAAGATGGACGAAAGCAGGGGAAGGATATTACATTTTAATTCATTTCAATGTGAGACTTTTTATATCATCTAAAGTTTACTCAAATTTAAACAATCTAACAGTATCCTTTTTAAATGTGAGTCAAGGCTAGCCTAGCTTTTAAACAATCTAACAGTATCCTTTTTAAATGTGAGTCAAGGCTAGCCTAGCTTTTCATGCTTCAAATAGTGTGAGATACACAAGCCTTTGCTACAGTTGAGGCTGGTCCTATTTTAGAACCCAAACATGTGTGCAATAATGAGCTTATAGGTTTCGAGTAAAATTTGGCTCTAATACTTATTAGGAATGGGGAGTGATAGGTTGAAAAAAAGAAGAGGAAACACGCGTAAGAATAGTGAAAGGAGCCCATGTCTTAAATGAAAACATTAAAAGTTAAGTTTATGGTTTATTTTTCTTTATTATATGTTAGTTATTAAGTTCAATTTTATTTAATAATCCTTTCGTTTTTATATATAAGAAACAAAATTATATCTCACAGTTTAAAAAAATCAATTAACTATAATAATGATGTTTAAAAATTAAAAAAATGACTAAAATATCTTCTGATAAATAATATAATCATACATTAATTATTTTTATTAATATAAATTATGAAGGATAATTTAAAAAATATATAATAAATATTTATTAGAATGAGTAATTTTACTTGTAAAAAATGTGGGTCAATAGTGATAGTATTTTAAACAAAAAAAAAAAGGAATGTGAAATTTTTCATGTCATCCAAAGGCTATTCATACCTTAATTTTCAAGATGATCACAGAAAATGCCGCGGCCTTGTAATTTGTAAATGGCTACAACTCAATCAAAAGGTGAATAACACCCATGTGATAGTAGGAGATTTCAGAGATGACACTGAGTCAGCAAAGTCAAGCATTCTGAAACCCCGGAAGAAAATATGGTGCTTTCTCAGATCACATCATTCATGGGATTCTTAAAAAATCGTACACGTAGGAGTGTCTTTCAACTTTCAACACTGGAAGATATCGACATTGTGGGGCCTTAAATTTTTGGAGAAGCAAGCAAAATAATTAAAAAATAGAAAGGAAAGAACAGAGGTAGCAGATGCAGCAATGCATAATGATTAATAAACAGATCACCGATGCTAGACAACTGTCTAACAAACCCCCACTAAAATGTCTAGGTGAATTGATGTACCAACCAATAATCTGTCTCTACGTAAGCTCACGAAAGCTATATTTCATTGATCCGCCCAACCTGCATCACCGGAACAGGGTCATCTTGTCATTTTCTATGCTTATAATACATTATATGATAAAGCTAAACGAAAAAATTACAATTTTTATTGATTATTGACTGTGATGTTTTGGCAAAAGGGTAGTCTGAAGTCTCACAAAATTGAATTTAATGTTTGATTTATCACACATAAAATCATGTAACATATAGGGAGGCAAGAGTGCGGTTAGTTTCTTTCGACACGATAATAATGGAATCAAAGGGGAAGTCAAAGCTGGAATTAATATCTATACAGGCTTCGTATCAGTGTTGTTAATATCTTCATTAAAAGACTGTTGTCACTCTCTTTGATTAAATATACCAATTGGAGCACACACTTATATTACCAAAAATCAATAAAAAGAAACTGCTTGATTAACTTAAGAGGTTAATCGCCATGTCATGAATCAGTATTAGCTAAGCTAAACAAATCGATAGCGAAAGATGCGCGTAGTGCAAGTGAGGCCAGGCAAAATGCCTGAATGTGTACTAAAAGACAATCTAAATATAATCTTATTATTTTATTTACGCAAAACTTACTTAAACTTGCATCACAGTTCCAGCAATAATTCTTCAATGATTTTTTTTTAAATATTTAAAATCGAGGAAACAAATTTTAAGTATAATATGTACACATATAATCATATATTCATATAGATCGACAAGTCACAGAGATATTTTGTTCTCTATGTTGAAAAATAAAGCTACTTGCAGGCAAGATGGCCTAACGATTAATTGTACGTGTCCGTCTGGATCTTTCCCCCAGTACTAATGTTCCTCTTAGATCATGTCAAGAGTGCTTGTACATTGTTTTTTCCCCCTTACCATAAATTGTATTAATACATTGTTTGGACTGCATACTGCATATTATCTCCTCCGGTCTTTTAATCTTATATAAGACACTGTTAATTATTGTTAATTAATTTTCATGCCTGAAGAAAACTGGTCAAAGTTAGCTTTCTTCATTAAATTTGTCTTAAAGTACTTTTTTTTAACACATTTGATACTGTTTTTTTTTTTTGGTCGGTGCACATTTGATGCTGTTAATTATAAGTCTTCTCCTTGTTTCGGAAATATTTTTTTTAATTGTTTTTGTCGGAGATTCATAATCAATGCTAATTTTAAAAATAATAATGCAGCAAATGAACTGGATCAAAGAATCCTTATACTCACTTATTTGAATTTAAATTTATTTATTCAATGAATATCTCACATGATGTGATAATAGTTATTTAAGGTAATCAAAAATTGTTGGAAATTTTGTAAAATAATAGTGTGACAATACAAAATCTCAAATTTTTAGTTATTTAAGTTAATCGAAAATTGTTGGAAATTTTGTAAAATAATAGTGTGACAATACAAGATCTCAAATTTTCAGAAAGACAACAAAGTGTTCTGATGCTAATAATTGTTTCAAATTTTTTAAAAAAATGGGTCTTAATAATTTTAAAATATTAATAAAGTTTAGTATTATATAGTATAATTGAAACACATTAAATAATATAAATCTGTCGTTCTTTTGTTTTGTATTAAACTGGAGGGGTATTCGATATAAACATAAATATAAATATAAATATAATGTAATGTAATGTAATTTTGTTAAAAATTTTGTGTTATGTACCAATATTATGACGATATTATACGGTTGTACAGATTGAATACAATCTCGCAAAGATATCAGACATTTTCAGTAACAATTACTCTACATAAATTATGATCGAAGTAAAGACGAGTGCGTTGTGTTGAGCACAAAAGGTTAACGATTTCGATTAATTTACCTTCGAAGTATTAAAAAAAAAAGAATGATTTAACTTAAAGGTGTTTAGTCTGTGTCCACTTCGATTGATCCGGTTTCATCCTAATTATATTAAAATAGGTTCTGTCCTGGTCAAAAAATACTTGGAATTGAACTTTATGTGATGGGACTGAAAAAGTATGTGAGATAGGATGGGACATAGAATTACTATCTGAACATTCTGTCCCCATCTCATCCCAAATATTACATATATATTATTTTTATTTTATCAATATATATTAAATATATTAATTTTATTAATATAATTTACACTTATATTGATCATATTAATTATAATTTTAATACGTGTAATTTTTTTAAAAATTTATTTATATTAATAATTTTAATGATATAGAATAAATAGAGCAATATTTTTTTATAATATATTAATAATATTAAATATAATTTATTCTTATATATACAAATATTTAATAACTTTTATTTATATCGTATTTCTTTCTTTATTTTTTAAACAGTAATTAACTTAGCATATCTTAATTAAAATAAAAAAAATTAATGATTTGATATTGTGCTTGACTTATCTATCATTGTTGTTTTTATAATCTAAAGATCACTTGCAATTGCTATCATATTATATGTTTATAGTTGTAATTGATATAATTTAATAATTAATTTTAAATTATTATGACTTATGTACTTGTATTATTTTAATTTTAAATTTAATAAATTATATAATTTAAAATTTTAATAAATATTATTATTTATTTTTTTTAATATTATTAAATTTATTGAAATCGCAAGACATCTTAATTTCACTTTAATTTTTTACAAAATTGAATGATTTTTAATACTAGACACAAGACAATTTTAACTAATATAATCAATGACATACGGGGTCCCGACAAAGTTTTCCTCACGGCCGACCCCATATAGGATGATTAATTGATTAAGCTTCCTAGTTTAATCGATATTTCGATTCGATTCGATGGCATGTGTCAGCCTAATGGAAAATTTCAGTTTTTACTTAAACTAATCACGTTTTTTAATGAATCTAAGTTGATTTATCATTATAAATTTTACATTTTATATTAAATTAATATTACAACTGATTAAGTAAACAATAATCATGGAAGATTAAGAGAGTTAAAATAATCGTAACGCAAATAATCATTATAATATCGTCGTCGCTCTTTCTTCTGCAGTCATCCACTGGCCGAAGCTCATTTTCTTTGTTTTTTCTCTCCTCCCTTCTTACGCCTCCTTTCTTTGATTCTTATCTCCTCACTGTCGTTCTAATATTCATTGCAAAATTTCTCCTGAAAAAACTGAGTTGGTGTCATCGACACGGATCCGAAGATCAGGTCTAATCTTGACCCATCTCTAGGCGTGAAGATCTTAGGCACTGGATTCCTTTCTGGCTCTCTTGTCTTGGATTTTTTTTCCCGATATGTGATTTACTCTTTAGCATTTATGATTTCCCATCCGAGATACGCCTAATTTTCTCGCACTCTTCTCAATTTTGTATTTTTTTTTTTTTTGCATTTTCTCTTCTCCCACCCCTGTAAAGAAGAGGAAAGGGGGCTTCTCCGTATGACCTTTCGGTTTTGTAGGTTATCGTTTTTGATCTTGTATTAGATGATCAAAAGTTTCTCTTCTTGTTCCTTTTGAGATATTGGGAATCAAAAGCCTGATTTTTGTGACTCATTACCGCAACGGATCGTTCTGGTGACTTAGGAGCGTGATGGATCTGACACTGAGCTTAAAGTGAAGACAGATCGCCGATGAGATATTCGGGTTAATCGACTTTTTTAACGATTAATGCGTATTGGAGATTTGTTTGGAATTTACTAGATTCCGGGAGATTGAGTTTTGGGTGTATGCTTCTTTGGATTTATGGTCATGGATCACGTTATTGGCGGAAAATACAAGCTCGGGCGGAAGATTGGGAGTGGGTCGTTTGGCGAGCTTTATTTGGGTACGCGTTTTAACAAGTTTTAGTAGCTTTTTTGGAACACTTTTTGCTTACAAATTTGTAAGACTTTATCTCATGTGGCTTTTTGGTCCTTTTTTAGGCGTTAATGTGCAGAATGGAGAGGAAGTAGGTGTCAAGCTGGTGAGTGCAGTCTTGAGGCATCGTCTACATATTTTTGCACTTTTTATGTTTGATCATGCTTTTTTCCATGGTGCTTAGGCGTCTTTGGAAATTGTAGTTGGTGGTATTATTTTCGAGACATAACGTTCTTTTGGTTAACAGTTATGATCTTGCCTTTTGGTTGATAGAACTCTAGTTGAAGAAATATTTGCCAATATTGTTCCCGTTTTTTGTGCAATGTTTTTGGTACCAGTTACTTTTAGAAGAAACGGAGATATTTTGGGCCTGAATAGCTATTAACATAAGCCATGAGCTTATAAACAATTGTTCCGACAGGGTCACAAATTAGGCTTACTCTTAAATCCTCAATGCAACTCCTGGATTTGTGCATTAATAGTTGTTTTGGGTGTTATACTGTTTTGGGGAGCATTAAACTTTGCATGGCTTGTTGATTGTGTGTTCAGACTTCAGACTCCTGAAGCTTTTCTGTAGTTTGTTCCCCACCAGGTTCCAAGTTTTAACTCATGCTGTTGGTTAAAAAAAAAAATATTGAACTTATGCTAATACTGACCCTTTTTTCTTTCTCTTCCTTGTTTTGTCAGGAACCTGCGAAGACCAAGCATCCTCAACTTCATTATGAGTCAAAACTATATATGCTTCTTCAAGGAGGAAGTAAGTTCGTTGCCCCTTACTCTCTGTTCTTTATTCTGCCTTTTCAATGCCTTCTCCTGTGGTTAGTTCTTTTTATTTACTCTTTTTGAAACATTATTAGTAGGTTATGTGCTTCTCTGACTAAAGTGTTCAAATTTAATTGAAGCTGGCATACCCCATTTAAAATGGTTTGGAGTTGAGGGCGATTACAATGTCATGGTTATTGACCTTCTTGGTCCAAGTTTAGAAGACTTGTTTAACTATTGCAATAGAAAATTCTCTCTAAAAACAGTTCTGATGCTAGCAGATCAGCTTGTAAGTTTTTTTTTTTGCTTTCTAGAAAACTGTATTCATTATAGACAGCTGTATTTGTGATATATTCCTCTTCATTCTTGCTTCCCTAGATAAATAGAGTTGAATACATGCATTCCCGAGGTTTTCTTCACCGAGATATAAAGCCTGATAACTTTTTAATGGGTTTAGGCCGCAAAGCAAACCAGGTATTTTGTGGTTCCCAGCATTTTTTTTTTTTGGGAATCCTTTTATCTTCTTGGTTGTTTAGACAAGTTTCATCACTTTTGGTTTTGGTTGTATTGTGATCAATTTTTATTTGTGATTTAAGAATTTGCTGAAAATATTTGGCCTTCCTGTGGATAAAGGAGATCTGAAAATTGAGTTTCTAATGAGTTGCAGTGTTAACTAGGCATAGGGGTGGTTGTAAACTATGAAAAGAATTTTTAATGGTTTTTTCTGGGACTCCCCCCATTTTATCAGAAGGAAACTTTTGGCTTTCCTTATTTTTTCTGTCATTTAAAAAACACATGTATGCTTTATCTTTTATATTAAGATTATCTAATTGATCTTATTTTATTGAATTCCATGTGTTTCTATTCGTTAAGCAATCATTTTCAGAATTAGTTCATGAATTAATTTTATTTTTTCCTGATAGTTTAATCTCTAGTTGTTTATGGATGGGCTCACTCATCAATACAAAGTGTACTATATTAAAGTTTGAACTGATTAGTTGCGATACGCTGAAATCATTCTTTGTTATATGAAATTGATAGTGCACAACAATTTATTCCTTTTCATTTGGGACGAACTTTTCAGGGTTTAGATTTTTCTAAGGATTTTTCATATCCTGTTGTAAAGTTTAGAACCGATACTGTGAATTTGATAGTGTTTGTTGAATGTTGATGGTCTGGAATTTAAGCTCGTGGTCGGCAGTGGAGGAGACTGGAGAGAGAGAAGGGTCTATAATCAGTATCTCATTTCCAAAATTTCTTGTACATACATGTGAAGAATTTTTTTTATTTAGTTGGCAGTGGCACTATTAACCAATAAAGCAATAACTTAAATGTGTCCAAGGTTATTATGTTGCCTGTGTCATAATTTTTTGCTGTGTTCGATACATTACAGGTGTACATAATTGATTATGGCCTTGCAAAAAAGTATCGGGATCTCCAAACACACAAGCACATACCATATAGGTACCATATTTGAGATTGATTTGGTTTGTTTAATTTGGAATAGAGGAGCTGTTGATGTCTCATATCTTCATTGTCTTGAGTCCTTAATTGATTTTTATGCCGGTAGCAGCCTTATAATAATGGGTTCTTTTTTTTTTTTTAAAACCGGTATGAGTTAGTTTTAGATTTATTTTCATGCCTTTTTTTTTTTTTTTTACATGATTGGTCATTTTCATGGATTTTATTTGTACGTGAATGAATTATCATACTATTTTACAGGGAAAACAAGAATCTCACTGGAACTGCTCGGTATGCAAGTGTTAACACTCACCTTGGAGTTGGTGAGCAACTGAGGCTATCTGTTACAGATTCTAATCACTATGCTTTTCAAACTTAACATTTCCTGATTGAAAATGGGTTTTCTTAATAAAAAAATGTTACCTTATTCTGATTATTCTTGTAGAACAAAGCAGAAGAGATGATCTAGAATCACTTGGATATGTGCTCATGTACTTCTTGAGAGGAAGGTTGGTTGAATTAGTCTTGCCTTTGTTATAATCATTCTCCAATTATTTTTGACTCAGATTACCATTTTTTTGCCCCAGTCTCCCATGGCAAGGCTTGAAAGCTGGCACTAAAAAGCAGAAATATGACAAGATCAGTGAAAAGAAGATGCTTACTCCAATAGAGGTCCTATTACTTTTTGTCACTAGCAGCTCCTTTGCTTGATATCAAAATAATTGGTTAACTGTTGCGGTAGAACTCTTCTTGATCTTCTGCTTTAGTCTGTAAACGTGTCCTTAAAAAAAAAAAAAAAAAAAACTCCCCCCCCCCCTAAAAAAAGAAAAGAAAAGAAAGAAACCAAAGAGGGAGGCATCTTGCATATGTTAACTGTAGTATTAAATGTGTCCTTAAAAAAAAAAAAAAGCCTCCCCCCCCCAACAAAAAGAAAAGAAAAGAAAAGAAAGAGACCAAAGAGGGAGGCATCTTGTATATGTTAACTGTAGTATTAAATATGTCCTTAAAAAAAAAAAAACCCTCCCCCCCCAACAAAAAGAAAAGAAAGAAACCAAAGAGGGAGGCATCTTGTATATGTTAACTGTAGTATTGTTGCTCATTTATACTATCTGTTTGCATTTTAGTGCGTAAGTTCATTTTTAATTCAGTCAAGTCTTTCATACGCCCCTTATATCTGTTGCAAAGAATTTATCGTATGAGTTTTGATATAGGTCCTTTGCAAGTCATATCCTTCAGAGTTTACATCTTACTTTCATTACTGCCGATCATTGCGGTTTGATGACAAACCTGATTATGCATACCTAAAGAGACTCTTTCGGGACCTGTTTATTAGAGAAGGTTAACTCATATTTAAGCTTTATTGTTTGTTTGTTGAAAGTTTTCCAATGCTAGGACATGACTTTAAAGATGTTGTAATTGCAGGTTATCAGTTTGATTATGTATTTGATTGGACTATACTAAAATATCCACAAATTGGATCAAGTTCCAGATCACGGGTTAGTATTTTTCAGTAGTCTCTCTCTTCATCTGTGAAGAGTCAAGAAATATAGCTTCACTGCATCTCTCCTAAAAGATTCTTATTAAGTAGAATTTTTGTTCCATTTTCAGCAGCCAAGTGGGAAACAAGTTATGAACCAGGGACCATCTGCAGAGAGGGTAGAAAGGCCTTTAGGTTCGCTCCTACAGCAAGATCTGGAATATATTTTGCTCTAAAGCTATTTCCTGCTTGATGCTACGGATAAATGGTGTCAATGTCTTATTGATCCATGTTTAGTTTCTATTATGCTGATAATCTCTGCTCTATTCTCATCATCTGGTGTAGGACTTGTTTGAAATTTAGTGGTTTTGCATTTGTTTGAATCATACGCTGAAAGTTTCTGTTTCATTTTAGCATTAGTTCATCTTAATATTAAGGAATTGTTTGTATATACAAAAAAAGAAAGGCTTTAAGCAGCTTACTCTTATCTTTATTCTTCTAATATAGTTGCACAAGAGACTCGGGAACGACTCCCAGGCTCTGTTGAAGCATTTGCTAGAAGAAGTGGCTCTGGTCTGCTTAGTGATCATTCCAGGCACAGGTCTTCAGACGGTGTGCCCTCATCCAAAATAGTGGTTAGTGCACTCCCTTCTATTTTTGGTCCTATTTGTACACGGGCATGTTTAGTGTGGGTCCTTCAAACATTTTTTCTTTAGATAGCAGATTGACTGCTTAATTTTCGCTTGCTTTATTTTCTAGCACCCTGATTCTGAGAGGGCTCGAAGCTCTTCTCGCACTGGTAGTGCCTCAAAAAGGCCTGTCGTGTCAAGCAGTAGGCCAAGCTCCTCTGGTGAGCCTAGTGAAAGCCGTGCTAGCAGATTAGTGTCGAGCAGTGGCCGTCTATCGACCACTCAAAGGATTCAGCCTGGTTTTGAGTCCAAATCATCATCATTTACCCGTGCTACAGCATCAAGAGGTGGCCGTGATGATGCAATAAGGAGCTTTGAGCTTTTGTCAATTGGCACAGGGAAAAGGAAGTGAAGATTGTCAGAAGACAACGTACTGTGTCCAATATTTTCTCATGAGATGTCTACACCTGATTACTCTGTAAATTTCCATCTCAAGCAGGGTTCATCAAGGCCTAAAAGCTCCATGAAGTTTTTCGTTAAAGCTTGGACGGGCACCTCTCACACTGTCTCCTTCCATGATTATTGCCTCATGGATTCATCTGTGAAGAGACATACTGTCTCCCTTGGGAAATTATTAATATACGAGACTCAGCTATTTGTACTAAATACATTCCCTAGTTTTCTTTTTTGTCCTGTCAAGAAAAGGAAAAAGAAATTGCAAAGCCTAATTAACATGCTTTGCAAGGTTTGTTTCACCCTTTCTCTGCACTACTGAAACCAGACTTTTTTGTTTCAGTGTACAATGAGGGAATGGAACTGCTTTTTCAGTCAATGTATTTGCAAGAATTCTTCCACCCTAAATTCTTCCACCCTTATTGGTATCTCAAGTTGTAGCTTCTTCCTCTCCCGAAATTGTTGTGTATGAAGGAAGATATTCAAATTTAGGTTCTCTCTAACGGAAAGGATTTGAGCAAAGCAAGGAAAAGGTGGGGGCTACTACCAATTCTATATTATCTCTTGCCCCTCTTCAGTGTATTATTTTCTTGGAGAATTGCATTGAGGGCCTCTGGAAGGAACCAAATTGCAGAAAGGGCTGAATACATTTTGAATCTTCTCTTAAGGTCCAAAGGATTGAACTGCTATTAATTGCCTCTTATTTGACAAATTGAAATTAGCGAGACCATCTATCACAAAGAACACGGCGTTCATTCCTCTCAACTTCAACCTCGTCAATATCGTTGGAGCTCGTTTTCTACCAAACTGAAGTCACTTTCTCCAATATTGAGAGCTAAAGGTTGTTGTCTTGTGGGTTAACCAGAGAAAAGTGAAGTACATTGATGTTATATTTCTTACCAATCAACATTTAACTGAAAATACAAAGATAAATGCACGTAAACTTTCTTAAAATCCTTTTCTTTTCTCACTTTACAAGTTCTAAATCATATAAAAATAAAATAACATATATATTTCACAAATTTTTCTTGTAAACAATTAAACAAGAAGATAAATAGAATGAATTATCTAGTTACCTTAACTGTAACATCTCAATTTTTAATTTGAGTTACTAATGAATTAATCAAGGTTAACTTGGTGAAATTGATGTAGAGAATGGTTCAAGAGGATTTAATAACCTTTTTGGGCTTAAGAATAACCTTAGAATGTGGGTCCAAAATCGAATGAAAGCCAAAAAGGGAGAAAAAATGAAAGTGTGTGGTTTTATATCATACGCCGTGGTGTGAGCATGGTCCACCACAGCGCAATGGATTGAAGCAAAGAGGCAAAACCTCTGTGTGCCACACGTCATGGCATAAGTAGCATGCGTCGCATTGCATGGTACAATTTTTGTCAAAATAAGTTGCAAATCGAACCTGAAAAACATAGGAGAAGAAAATAAAAATGAAAAGAGCTCTACTAGAGCTTCATTTTCAAGGGGATTGTAGGTGTTTTAGAGCTGCTCAACCCTAAGGATAAGCCTTCTAACTTATTCTTCTTTGTTCCCAACCCATTTTCTTAGAGATTTGAGCTAAGGTTTGAAGGATAGAGTTAATTTTTGGTCTATATAGGTTACAAGTCTTAACCCATTGACTCAAATAAAGTTGATAAGAGTTGTTTTGAATGTTTAAACCTAAAAATCATGGATTTGTACATTAATGGTAGTTGAGAATCATTAATGTCCAAAAATGAGCATTGAATCCAAAATTATGAAGGTTGTTGAGCCATTAATGACAATATGAGAGTTTAATGAAGCTATTGAGAAAAAAGGAGAGTTAGTAAATCAAATAGGTAGGCCTAAATGTTAGAAGTAAAGGCATTAGATATTTGAAAATGAAAATATGAGAGTTGAAAATGTGTTTTCAATATTGTTAATTGAGTTGAATATGATTAATTGTAGATTAATCGTAGATTAATCGTTCAGGCACCATTTTGGGCTTAGAAAGCAAGCTTGGAAGTGAGACATTGAGGGATAAACCTTTAACCTCTCAAAGGTTTAAGGTAACCGACGGAACCTTACTTTATGTAGTTATTTGTTAATTAATTTTTTAATGTGAAAATGGGTTTACTTGCATGTATGATTGAATTTATAAATGTTAAAGCATCCTATAAACCATATGTTAATATATTAATCTTAATCCTACATAAATGTGAAGTTAAATTCGAGATGAATTTTTGAACCATGAATGTGCATTGAAATTAGAAATATATGATGTGTGATGTGATGATGATGTAGCTGTATTAGTATGTGATTATAACATGTGAGACTAAATGAAAAATTAAATTGGGTACAAAATTGAAAATAGAAGTGGATAATGTTGTGAAAATAACATTGGTGTTTACTTGGGTAGCATAATATCGTAAGCTCAATGTGTTCATATTGAATTGATGAAATTGTGAAATGAGTGGGCATTGTACATTGCAATATCAGTTGGAGAGAGTTTGCTTAGGGAGAGGGGTGGATAAAATCCATATGGTATTTACGGTTACCTTCTGGCACATAAAGGCATAGCCTTGTCCCAATATTTATCAAAGGACTATCTTATAGTTCGTTGAGAGATTAGAATCTAGTTATCTCCACATGTTATATTAAAGATATTAGCTTAGGATATATGACATCCTAAAAATTCAAAAGTGGAGAAAGTTGTAGTTCAAGAGTGAATACTGTGATCTTTGACCAAATTACACCTCATAATTGGTGAGCTTGAGTAGTCTAGTTACACGAATAGAACCATGATTGATATTATAGCCTACGGTTTCAATTGGAAGAAATAAGGAGGGTATGATGATAATTTGATCATGCATAAGTGTTTGTTTGATATGTAGTCACATGGTTATTAAGTTTATGGCAAGTTATGGTAGTGAGTATACTATTGTCACATTGTTATTTATGTTGTGGTGATGTGCATGGAATTAATGAATTAAGTAATTGTCACATGTCTGTATGTCTTATGGCAATGTACTCTGTGATTTGAGATGAAAAGTATGAAAATTAGTTAATTTTTGAAATGACAATTTTTGTGGCATGTAAAGGTATATTTTGGTTAATCAACTCCATTTATGTGTGTTTATTTAATTGATATACAACTGCACAGGGTAGGTATACTTTGATTATTGAGTGGCTATTAGGGGTGTTCACGGGACGGGACGGGACCGGGACACCCCCGTCCCGTGTCCCGTCCCGTGTCCCGTCCCGAGAAAAAGATCGGGACTGAATTTTGGTCCCATGTCCCGTCCCGTCCCGAAAGTCGTCCCGTCCCGTTAAGAGTCGGGACGGGACCGGGACAAGATCGGGACGTCCCGCCGTCCCGATAAATGGAATAATATCGAAAAAAGATCTGGATAATAACATTCATTAAAATTTTAAATCATATAATTTATTAAGTTTAAAATCAAAACAACACAAGTACATAAATAACAATAATTTAAAATCAATTATTGAATCATATTAATCATAACTACACATTATAATAATAAACACAAATGATCTTTATATTATAAGATTAGTAACAATAGACAAGTCAAATATAACATCAAATCATTGTTCTTCTACTTTAGTGAAAATGTACTAAGCTAATTACTCTTCTAAAAATAAGCAAAAAATACGTTGTAAATAAAAGTTATTAAATAGATATATATAAGAATAAATTATATTAATATAATTAATATATTATAAAGAAAGATATCGCCATGTTTACTCCATGCCATTAAAATTATCAATATAAAAAAACTTTAATTTTAAATAAGAATTGTAAGTATTAAAATTATAATTGATATAAGTATAAATTATATTAATATAATTAATATATTTAAAATAAAAAATAATATATACAATATTCGGGACGGGACGGGACGTCCCGATGGTAATCCCGTGTCCCGTCCCGTCCCGAACCTCTTTCCTGTCCCGTCCCGTAAAGTCCCGTCCCGATTATTTTCGGGCCGGGACAAGACCCGTCCCGATATGATCGGGACGATACCGGGCCAATCGGGACGGGTCCGGACTGAACACCCCTAGTGGCTATACCCACCCCTTTCTTTTAATATTTTACAGGCTCTAACTTTAGGTAGAAAAGGGAAAGACTTAGAGGCTTAGGAATTCGTGAAATTCTTACTGTACTGCATTGGATATTACCAATTAGGTTATATTTTATATACATTTGTGCTTATTAATGTTTATGATCTTTAAAATGTTTTTTGAGTCTTGGAATGCTGTGTATAAGAGTTGTAAATATTATTAAGGCCAAAATACTAGTGCAAGTGTAGAAAATGTTAATTCAATCATAACTTTGATTATTTGTGGTTAAATACAATGCAAATATCTCCATCTTTTGTTTTGTTTTTAAAGGGGTTGAGGAGTGAAAGCTTAATTTTATGGTATATATGTGCATATAGTGTGTTATACAGGTAGTCTTAAGTTCTACAAGTGTGTTTTGAGTGTTAGGAATATCTTTTAGCATATGTGTAGGGTTTTGTCAGCTTTTTTATTGTGAAAAGTTGTAAAAATATATTTGATTGTTTAACTTGCTTGTGTGACTTAATTTGAAAGTAAAACTCATGTCATTAACTAGTTTATGAAAAGAGACTTCCATAGACACCTAGATCACCTCATTCAGATATCGGACGGAGAAATAGAGCATATTGAAAGTTGCCTTGAATTACTAGCAAATGACAACATAATTGCTATTAACAACGAGCAACACGCCACGGCGCATAACATATAGTAGAACAGCTATATCACATGTGCACAAGTCATGACGCACTACCCTCTTTTTCAAGACTTGATGTTTTTCAATAGATGTTGAATTTTTTCACTCCTCTGAGATATCTCATGCTTTCAAAACATTATTTTACTTTGATTAAAAATTTAATAAATGATTTTAATTTATTTTAAACTATGAAAACTTGAGATCTTATTTCTATAAAACTCATTTTGGTAATCCTTATTAGGGTTAGACCTTTAATTACTTTGAATTTGATACTTAATCATGATTAGGTAAGGGAGATATTTCATCAATCCTCTAGATACACAAGGCTTGCCTATGGTACTTATCGTTCTTTGCATTGTCAATTGTTCAAAATGCTAGTAAGCCACGTCAATCTATAATATTAAGTACTATATGTCAATTTTAAATTAAACACAAGTATTTATTAACATAATTAAACTAGCCTAAGGTTTTAATCTCTTTCATTAGGCAATTTTAAGTCCTATCCACCTTCCACAAACTTCCTATAATTTCTACAAACCCAATTAATATCAATAGAGGGTTTTTCACAATTCAAACATTTCTACTTAAGGTTAGAATTAAACCAAAACTTCAAAAGTCCTTCACTAACCATCAAACTAGTTACAAATTCTCAATTTCACTTCCAATAACCCTATAAAGGTCATTAGACTAGAAAGGAACCCTCCATAAACTCAG